AAAAGCCCATGCTATCTTGAAAAGAAGCCCACAGGCTTCTTTTCGAGGCTACTTTTGCAAAATTAAGAGTAATAAGCAATAAACATATAATGGGTAATATTATATATGTTGAACAGAAGGTTGTATCATCCTAATAACAAGAATCATTAAAGATAAATTGGCTTTTTGGTTGAAAGAAAATACTATTATATCGGCTTGGTTTAAAAAACCTTAATAAATTTTTTACAAGATAAAACAAGTTGAAACTAGAGTTCTGTACAATGTCATTATGTACGATTACCCAGCCATTTGAGGCACAGTATAAGGTTCAGATCTGACTGTTTATAAAATTTATAAATACATAAAAAATATGGTAAAATTCTAGTCCAAGTAACAAAAAAAGGTTTCTTGTCTGTTGCATATTATTTTTTGGGATGCCTCCCCAAGAAAACATGGCAGAAATATATCCTGGTAAGTAATTAGTCCTTCTGAGTGTCTAGGTCTGGAAGGTACAGATAAGTTCTGTATGGGGTGTGATGGCCATCTTTGTGAAGAAAATGAAACAATGGTGCTCATCATTGGTGGTGGCCATGAGGAAGGGAGAAGAGGTTACATCTATCTCCCTGTCAGCAGGGAGTTGTTATAGTCAATATTGTTTTATTTGTTGTTATATTTTGTCACTAGAAACTACTCCCTACTGATGTCAGATAGATCAACTATTATGGCTCATCTGACTAGAAAAAGGGGAAAAAATTGTATTTTTTAAAACTATTGTGCATATTATGGTGCTAATATGTCTCCACACAGCTTAAAACGGCTTAAAATTGAATACATTAGTTCTACTAATATGCCCAGGGAAATTATAGCCTCACAAAACAAGGGCTTTGCTCCTATACCCCGCTGGTTTTTTGCCAGATATTGTAAAACAAATCTTAAAACCTCCACTGGTCATCATCTTGTTTAAAAAACACAGGCAAAAATCAAAAATATTTTTTATTGGTCTAATACAATTTGATGAGGTTCACAGAGTTTAACTTGCAGAAAAAATAACATATGATGAGCATAATACGAACAGAAAAAAAATAAACAACCATTAACCACCTCCACAGGCAATTTGCACATCCAACTGAATAACAAAGGATCTGTTATATTTGCTAGTCCTGATTGCGGATGCAGTGTTGTGTGATTTTTTTCATTTGCTAATTGAACTTGATTGTTTTCAAGATTATTTTTAGTGTAGCTGCATTAGGACAAATTATAACAACATTCTGAATAGAAAAAAAAAAAGCAGAGACTAGTAACATATATTTGACGTACATGCTTTCATCCATAAAGCTGTCTTCTGTAAAAACAGAATAAAAGAAAACAAAAACACTGAACTTACTAAAACTTAAAATATAAAACACTCCTTTAGTAGATTATTTTTCAGTTTGTAAACATCACTGACTAACTTTAACTTTAACTTTAATTATATTATTATATTTGAAAGAATAATAAAAATTCAATATAGGTCTCCCTCCAATTAAAGACCAATATTGGGACTGGGGTTTTCATGGTATTTAGCAGCTTTGGTCTCTAATTAGAATAATAAAGATAATAGACATTTGGTAATTTGGGACCACAGAGAGTCTTTAATTGGAATGGTCTTTAATTAGAGGGAGACCTGTATAGAAATTGATTAAACATTAAAAGAGGAAGAGAGCTGCAAATGTGTTCCAAAATAAATATCTTCATAGCGTATTTTAATCTCAAAAAAAAAAAAGAAGCCATTTCCTGTTTATTATTTTTTTACAAAAACATGACCATTCCAGACAAATTTCATTCAAATGAGAATGACAACGTTAAGTAGGTCGAATCCAGGAAGAACTGAAACATTCTGCGAAGGTTACAACAAAAACGATGACTCTTTAGCAAGATGGAGATTGAAAGACATAATTAACAGAAGAAAACCAAGGCAGATTTTTAATTAAGATAAGTGTTGCTAGAAAATCAGACCTCCACTATTTGCTCTTTCATTAATGGAATACCATATATAGGAAGGAAAAAGCCAAGGTAGAGAAATTGATAATTCCCAGCTTAATGGCAGTAAAAATTAGTTATCAACATCTGTTAATATTTCATTGGACAAGCTATTAACATATTAACTATTGTGTTCAGTGTCATTTGAAGTGATTCTAAAATAACTGTCTTCGTATTAGAATAACACTTCTTTGTTTATAAAAAAAAAAATTTTCATTTTTACGATATATTATAAAAATTTTAATTTATTGCAATCAAAAAATAAAAAAGATTGTATAAGAAGCAACTTTGCACAATTTATACGATTTATATATATAATTGGCAGAAAAGTTAATCATTGTACCTTCAGTGACGAACATGAATCAAATTACTGCATACTACTTTGTAAAGTTACATAGAATAGGTCTATGTGGATTGAACAAATAGATTCATTTAGACAAAATGCAACATAAATTAAATTTTAGACCAACATGTGGGTCTTTTTGGAATTCCAAATGAAAAACATGATGGGCATCAATACTATTTTGTTAATTTTTTAGATTTTTTGTTTATACAAAAATGAAAGAAAATATCTCAAATTTTCTAACATTTATTAAAGAAGTTAAATTATATATATATGAAAGATACAATTTTATTAGAAATTCCAACTTCGATAAATTTTCAAAAAAATGGAGTTGCTTTGAAAAAAATATTTGATGATTATAGTTAATTTTACTGCTATTTGCAACCTGATTATTAATTATTAATTTCTTTTTAATTTAGAAATTATTGATCTCATTGTTTTAGTTTTTCTAGTTCTATTCAGTTAATCAACAGCATCTGTTCACCATTTGGATGAGTCCACAGTGGAAGAGCTGTGAGATGGACCAGTGGTAACCCCTATTCGGCTCAAAGGATGTACTGGGTTCTTTATAGTGCATATGAGCCATATGTGTACACTGGGCCTACGCTTTATGGTCCTAATCCGAGAAGACTTGTTCTACCTATTACAGCTATAGGCGAGCGTGCCATTCGAAACAGCGCCTATGTTATGGCCGTAGGTTGAAGCACCCCTGCCTTTAACCACTCAGCCATTCGACTTGCCTATATTATAAGTGAGAATTTTTATATTCATATAAAACAAAGAAATGTTATTTATTGTTATAATTTATATGATTTTGATGCATTGAAGAAATAAATACAACAAAAAACTTAAGCAATAACAGAAAGTACTGTACTGTATAAATATAATATGCAAATGGATGCAAATAGGATGCAGAAATATTTACCGTATATGGATGTGGCACTTAATGTAATCAAACATTGTACAGCAAGTACATTGCAGTACATTAAAATTCTTCCCAAATTAGCATATGTGGCAAAGACAAGCCAAACCAGTCATTCCTTACAAAAATTAATTTTTAGTTATTAATACAGAGTAAAGCAGTAAAAGAAAAGTTATAAAATGGTAAAAGAAGTATTTAAATCCAACATTTTATTATGAAGTTACAGGGGTTTAAACATACAGCTGTTTAAATAACATTATTTGAGAAATCAGCCCTCAAAGTTTACGATTTTGGCCAATTTCTCTGCCAGAAACCATTACCAAGTTGTTAAAACTATTGTTTAATGTTGAAAATGGGGAAAATAACAACATAGCGCGATGTACAGATATATAATGTTTAGTTTAATGCACTAAAATAAATTTCGACATTCTAACACGTTTTGGCCATTATCTCTGAAAAACAGTTTTTGTGAGGAGTGACTGGTTTGGCTCGTCTTTGTCACATGTTATTAAATACTCAATGTTATTTGCCTTGTGTAGTTACTTAGCACTTGTGAACAAATTACAGTCTTTCCTACTTCCGTTAGAATATAAACCTAGATAAATTTTGATAAGATTTCTCTAAATTACTAACCGAATTCATCAATTTTAAGTGTTACATGTTTTCTTTAATCAAGAATAGAAGCTCTAATCATTAAAATATGAAACACACACAAAAAAAAATTGATATCATTTCATCATATGTGTTTTTTTTTTAAATTAAAATCTAAATGACTAATCATTTTTTATTTTCTCAATTATCATTTTTATATCGAGGATATCCTTCAGAAATTGAGAAAAAAAGTCTGTGTTTAGAAATCAGTGTTGGCTGGTCAGCGATTTTTTTTTTTTTTAACTATTTGCCTACAAGGCATAATTCTAGAATTAATTGCCAACACCCTCCCCATTCATTTTCGTTGACAAAATAATAACCGAAGGGCTAAAATCAATATAAAGTGTAACATATATTTAAAACTTGAAAAATGGCCTTCTAAACCATACAAGTATTTTTGCCTCCTTCGTGGTGTGTTGTAGAAAGCTGTGTATATGCACATTGATTACGATTGTATACATATGCTTCTGCATGTTTGTTTATTTTTGTGTATTTTTTCCTTTAAAGGTTACATACAATATGTATAAAGCATACTTTAAATGTTTATAAATATATAAATCAAAAGTGCTGTTAACTACAGTAGTAAATTAACAACAATGATACAGTAGCCTAGAACTTAAATGAAAGCAGAAAAATGATAACTTGAAAACCAAAATAAATTAAAAATTACAAGTTAAATTAAACTAAAGGAAAAGTATTACTGAATACAGACTATTGCTTCTGTATAATCAACATCGTGAATAGTGATAGTAGCTTGATGATTGAATAAATCAAATTAAAATTGGTAAAAAAAAAAAACATATAAATAATAATAATAAATAAATAGCTGACCCTAATTTGTAAGATTTTGCATTTGTCAGAAAATGTTTATATTATACTATAACATAATTATTATTATTATTATTATTTTTTAATTAAATTAATATTTTATACGATACGATACGATACGATATTCTTTATTGTCATTTGAACAACAGGGTACAAATGAAATTCAAGTGATTGATCAAGGTACAATTTCAGAGAGGAATAAAGAAAAAAGTAAACTAACAAAGAACTCCAAAGAGACATATTCAAATAACTTAAATCTAATGAATCATATTGAATTTATTGAATCTTAATGTATTCATAATAGCATGCATGCCATTTACAGTTAGGAAATCATTGATCTCACTTTTTTACAATATTCTTAATGAGGGTAATTCACATCCAGCCACCTAATCATTTGAGACCCTCGAAGGTCTATAACCAAGTCTCTTTATGAGCTTCAAAAGGTATTGTTTTGTGCAGACATCTGGTTAACTACATGTTTGTTTTTATATCTGTCTGGTAAATTATAGAATCGTTCTTGTTTCCTGAATAACCCTGAAATTCTCGATTATAGTTGAAAATTCCATTACGCTATTGAAGATTAACTAAATCCGCTAAATTGTTATCTACACCAAAACTGACAAGCTTTTGAAAGGTAAATGAGTTTTTGGAGATATTAATATCACTGAGAAGCTTGTAAACAGGATTATGAAAATCTCAATGTACAATTGTGGAAAAAGACGACCTGCCTTACATTTTAAGGAAGCTTAAATTGCTACTCCATGCAATCTGATCATACCCTATGGATTTAGTAGTTCAGAACTTTAAATCATTATTATATTATTACAATCATTCCTAAGCATATTGCCATGCAACCATCACATCAATTCTATTAAATTTGAAATTATGTATATTATTACAATTATGCCTAGAAAATATTGTCATGCTACCATCATATTCTGCATCTGAATGATCATTATTACCACAATCCCCGTCATGGCCCCACCATTAGGGAGCTTTCGATTGCACGACGACGGTAGGACGCAAAAGGTAATGGCGTCACTGAAAGTCATCTGTGCATGCGAGAATGTTACCTCGTCAAGTACATTCTGGAACGCAATTTAGCCAAATCTACGTATGCACAGAACGTAGGACGCCAGGTAGGACGGTCACGCATGAGTGATTCCGTTCTAGCGCCGCGTCATCGCACAAATCAAAAGCTTCCTAATATCATGATCATGATCATTATCATCATTATCAAAAACGTATTGTCATCACCCTTATCGGCAGCATGACACGAATTCTATTAAATTTGAAATCATTATTATTTTATTACAATCATTCCCTAACATATCATCATGCCATAATCATATTCAGCGTTTCAACCATCATTATCATCACAATTCTCATCATAGCCCCAGCATTACACTGTCATCACCATCATCGTCATTATCACTATCTTCACCATCGTTATTATACATGCTATCATCATCTTCATGAATCATCACAATTATCATTATTACAACAAGTCTTGCCATTATCATCATGAGCACATTGATCGTCTATGAAAGTTGATAAAATATTGAAAACAAATTCACCTCCTTCCACTAATAATCACTAAAAACATAATGAAAGCTGATGTTATACAGTAACTCAAGGGCAAAACATTTTTATAATATATATATATTAATTCCAAAAACAAAAAAAAAGAATTCAAATGTTTTAAGTGATGCAATTAGGTTACAAAATTATTCCTTAATAACGTCGATATGAAGTTAAAGCTAAATGATCGCTGAAACGGAACGGATCTTTGGAATATGGTGATGGCCAGTACGGAAGGTGGTAGATATATTATCAATGAAGATCTATGTGATGTCTTGAATATTCCTAGAGTTAATCAATTTGATGACTATGCTGCACTAGAGTCCAATCTCTTGAAACATCCAATGGCTAAAGAGGTGCTTAAACCAGTGGTTCTCAAGATTCAAACCAGAAGATGTAATCCAAACTTCTTGGCATATTGTATTAAACAATATATAAGACAGGGACTATACAGCCCTGTATTGGATTCTCCAGAGATGTATACAATCTAATGATAATCCCTCAACAATTTTAAGGCTTCCAGAAATAATCATGTTGCCAATTATTGAGAATATCAATGAAATAGTGCTCAAAAGGTATGAAGGAATGTTCAAGACACGTTTATATAGATGTTTAGGTGTTACGATTACTTCTTTATTAGTGTGCTTACGAAACAAATGTTCTGATGATGATCTGGTTACCTACAAAAATAAAGCGTTAGATTACTATAAACTAGGAGCTGAAATGGTCTATGTGGACAATTGGCACGACAAAGGCATAGGAGGCCAAGCTCTTGTAGTAAAATTCTATTATTTGATGGGTAACTATAAAGCATTAAAAGAGGCAATTACAAAGTTTAAACCTATTCTCCACGAAGTTAAGTGTAATCAAGATTATATTTATAGGCTTATTAATATAGAAATATGTACAGATGAAATATCTGATATGAGCTATAAGGCATGGGCCGCTGATGAACTGTTGCAGTATGTTATCAAATGCTCCCCAGAGCAACTGCATCACCTGCATCCAATCGCCGTTGTCCTATACATAATGGCCAGAGTAGCACTTCGTGATGACGACATATGCAGTGTAGCTATGATTGTAAAAGAAATGGAAAAATTTAATTTTTCATGTAAAACCAATATCAATAACATGGACACAACAAACTCCACCAATGTGCTGATAGCAATCATTGAAAGTCTAACAGGTCTATTAATTGTAGGGAAAATGATTTACACAAACTTTTAAAATTATTTTTGAAATGTGAGCATATGAATTGAAAGTGTTGGGGCCCATGCATGTCACAGTAAAGTATTTTTGCCAATTTGAAAGTGGTCAATGTAAATCCCCTCCCTACTGTACTGAAAAGTCTGCAAAAAGAAAAATTAATATTGTGGAACTATTCAACAATAAATAACAATATCAATGCTGTTTAATATAAAATGTCATTTTAAGACTAATCAACAATGAGTCGACTTTTATAAATCAACTGACTCATTAAAGGAAGCTTAACTACTTGACACAATCATACACTACGGCTTAGTATTTCATTCAGAACATGAAATCATTATTATTATTGCAATCATCACTAACATATTGTCACGCAACCATCATCATTATCACTGCAATTCCCATCATTATCCTCACTGATAAACATGATCGCCATAACCATCATTGTCACAATCATCATACATTATTGTCATTGCCTTAAATACCAGCAGCATCACATGAATTTCTTTACCATTACTCCATCATTTCTGTAATGATACTCGTAAACTTAGTTACTTATTAAATCCAACTTTATTGAACATATGATCAAGGTGGGCATTTTTGTAACTCCTACAAGAGAGGGCGTCCTTCTCCTATTACTATCACAACATCTCCCTCCTTTGGGATTTACTTAAATTGCTTATTCTGAGTAGGAAGGTATACATATTAAGTTGATTAGCTAGGTTCTATGTGATGTAGATCTATGAGTGATTATATCTCAGTTATATGTGTAGCATAACTACGATGATCATTTGAATAAAGCTTGCATAGCAAATACGACTTTGATTTTCTTTTCTGTTAAATTGTTATAACCTTATTTTAACAATGGAAATACTTTAAAGTTTCACTTGTCAAATCGTGAATAAACTCATAATTTTAACATCAACATTAAACTGCAATTTAACAAGATAATCATAAGATCCTAATACATAACAAATTGAATCTTGCGCACGTTGGTTACTTTCAAAATATGGTATAATATTTCAAACATTGCTTTTCTCAAAGTTATCAATTAAAACATAAACTATTGTTTCAAGAGTTCATTTGTATTCATCGTGGAAACGTAGCCGCTTGTGGATACTTCATCCAGATCTGGTAGTAGTGGTACGTTTATGTGGTTCTTGTGGGTGTGCCTCCATTTGTGACGAGTGTGCTTTCTGCCAGGGCCGTTTTTGTTCGTTCATTGGGGTTGGTCACTACTTGGTCTGCAGCCGATTCCTCGCAAAATATGGTCATTTTTAACTATTTGAGCATTAATTTTTGGGGGAGGGGGTCGCAAGTATTTTTGGAAGGGTGTGAGCTCCCCCCCCCCCGCACACCCACTAGATACGCCACTTCATTGACCAAGTACTGAACTTTAAGAAAGCAAGAAATCATGACCAGCTCACCAAATGACTTTAGTAAATTAGCAATTAACAACATCAACCACGTTGAAAATTTGAAACAACCTATCAGATCGGCATGATAATCAAATGAACAAACGTTGACTACATTCATCAATTTGGCGTAATTAGATACAGTAAATTCAATGTAAATCAAGGCAGCATATTTACCTATTATATTGATTGAGGCCAGCATTTGGTTAATTACTCCAACAGTGCACACACATGGATCAGCTGTACAAACATTAAGAAATATACACATTGATTTTATGCCTATATTGAAATCCCATCCGAGACAATTCATTCAGACTGGTGCACTTCGTTATCATTACAATATCTTTAATTCAATCAAATATTAATCACAATCAACTATACACATATATGCATACTAGTTGGATGTTATTTGTAAGTGTGCCGTAAAAGGGACGAAATTGAAAAAGAGAAATTTAATTCAATTATTGTTTGATGATTTGATTTAGGAAAAAGTTTACTTATCAGGAAGAGTGCAATGCTCCTAATAATTAGTATTTATTGTAACATCAATATCATGCAGACTGAAAATTACACACACCGAAAATAGATAGTAACAACAAATAGGTGACAGACCTTAACAACAGATTATGCATTTACGAAGTGTTATAATACATAGAAATAAAATATATTTCTAAATAACACAAAAATATTTATTTTAAAAAAAATGTTTACTGTATACTTGTATAGTTATTTTTTCTAGTAATTTTTAAAATGTTTATAAAGTTTTAAATAAAATGATATATTGATAATGATGTTGATAAATTATATTTTACATTTACTTATTTAAAATTATAATATTATGTTGACTTCAGTCTCATATTATTATTATTATTATATATTTTCGCAATATAAAATATATTTTTTCATCATTTTGGACATCTATTAACTTTAAAAATACTGTATTATAAATATACTAATTTATTTAATACTACTATTGATAAAGTTACACACAGTGATATCTATTTCTTTAACAAAAGTGTGATATAATTAATCTTATCTTCAGTGAAAGAAATTCATTAACATCGAATATTTAATGTCTGTGCAATTATATGTAACATATTTGCAATATCTTGTTTAATTTTACATGTAATGATTTTACTATTAAATCCTATTATTTAAAATAGGCTCTGGAGGAGGAAAAAATGATTTGATATGTAGTACAACTGATTTTTTTAAAGAATGTTTGACGAAAACTTGGGAACGGTTGAGATACAGATTTTCTTTTTTGTAATTTTGTATTGAACAAAAAATATAATAGTACTCATTTTACATTATGGTTTAAAGTGTTTTTGTGTTCTTATATAATTTCACTCACAATCATTTTTCTCATAATTTTGTACTGGACAAAATAACTGAATTAATTGATCATCTTGGCATTAATAGGCCACTTCATTATTACATAAATATTATAATACATATTTTGAGAAAAAATATACAACAAAAAAAATTTATAATCATAATATTCCTCAGGAGAAATATTTTATTTCTTAAAGTCAAAAAATTAAAGTATTTGTAATTTAATAAGAAAGTAAATACTGTACATTATATCTCTCCTAATAGATATAAACAAAAAAAATCATTTGTTACAACAACTGGTTAATAGTAGGTTCAATTACACCTCTTATGAGACACTAACATTAACTCCCATCGAGCATATCAGATATTATTACAACTCTAAATTTGACAAGCGTATAGAACACTACTGTTTAGCTTTATAGAAGTAATAAGCTCAGCCAAGGGACTTACACTTTTTCTGGATGTGACTGTATCATTCCATTTCAATTATTTCAATCTAGCATTGACCAATCATGTACTGCTGTGATTTCCAAGCAAGGCCATGCTCAGCGAATCACAGAGGACTGGTTGATCAATAGTTTGTGAGCAAACTCGCTGTGTTTGGACAGTAATCAACTAGAGAATTCACATATACATTCAGATATGAATTTGACTCTAAAGTAAAAACAATACAGGGATATGTGAAACTAATATTATCTGAAGTTGCCACTTCTCCTCATAAAGAAAAATCTGCAAGCTTTCGAAGCTTCTCGTAAACAAGTCGTTCACATGAATATATTACTGGAAACATAAGCTTGGGTAAGTATGGTTTTTTTTTTTTTTTGTTTTTTTTTT